GGGTCAAGGTTAACAAAAGAACAAAAGAAACAGGAGCAGGAGTAGGCCATTTGGCCCATCGAGCTTGCTTCACCATTCAATAAGACCACGACTGATCTTTTCGTGAACTCAGCTCCACTTACCCACGCCCCCTCATGACAACCCTTAATCCCCTTACTGTTCAAAAACCTATCTTTGCCTTAAAAACATTCAACAAGGTAGCATCACTGGGCAGGGAATTTCACAGATTCACAACCCTTTGGGTGAAGAAGTTTGTCCTCAAATCAGTCTTAAATCTGTTCCCCTTTATTTTGATGCTATCCCCCCCAGCTCAATGGGCTGAATGGTCTCACTGTGCCCAAAATGTCTTGATGGTTTGGCGAGGGAAGAGGTTGAAGGCAGGACAGTCATTTGCAAGGGCACAAATGTCAAGGGTTAGGGTTTTTTTTGAGAAGGACGTGGGGAAGCAAATTTAAAAGGAGAAAGGGTGAACACCCAGAGAGAGAGAGAACTGTTTATCATGGTGGCTGACATAGGGACCAGGAGGGAAACCAGGTGACCAGGAGGTTAGGGCAAATGGGGTGGGAGTTTACAGACTACGTGAGCGTAGAGAGAGCACACGGTGAAATCTAGGGAAAGCTGCAAGTTGAACGGGAGGGAGGTGGAAGGGCAGAAATGTACAACTAATCATGGAAATGTAATATTGCCCAGGAGCAGTGAACAATCAGATAATCTGTTTTTTATGGGGTTACTCAGAGCAGGAATGTTGGCCAGAACACTGGATTAACTCACTGTCTTTTCTTGATTTCCCAGTTCAGTGCAATGGGATATTGTACACCAAACACAGGCAAGTGGGATGAGTTTAGTTCGGGGAAACTTGGACAGTATGGATGAGATGGGCCGAAGGGTCTGCCTCTGTGATGCATAACTCTATGACTTTACTCAAACGAGGACCAGGGGCCTTTATTTCAATATCACAGCTGAGAGAAAGGGCATTCTCAGCAATGTTGCACACCCTCAGCTCAGCACTGAATTACCAGCAGAACGCTGCAATCTGCTCAAGTCCTCCATGGGGAAGTGGGATTTGAACACACAGAGATCAGCAAATTGTGATTCCATTCAGCTGCCCCCCCCCCATTCAAAGATTTCCACACAGACACACACACAGACACACACACAGACACACACACAGACACACACAGACCACAAAATAAAAATTCAAACCTGCAGTACTGTTCCATTCTTCAATTTCCTTCAGTTCTGCTTCCATACACTCGCTGTCAGGAGAGGCTGCAGCTGCCGGAGGGTTAATTAGCAAAGTATTCGCTTCAATTGTTTTCTCTTTCCGAGTCCTTGCGCATCCCTGAAATCAAAACACGAGATTCACAAGGGCCAGGAATCACTAACTCTCTGCCGCCTATTCCTCTCAAATTCGCAGCAACATGCACTCACATTTCCAAACTGTCACTCACAATGCAACATTTGTGCACGCGGGCTGTGTAAAAAGAACAAAGACATTGCAACTGAATCATGCATTTCACAAAACCAGAGATAAAGCATGTTGAAGCCAGTTACTGACTGACTTCACACAGAGGGTGGTGCGTATATGGAACGAGCTGCCAGAGGAAGTGGTAAATGCAGGTACAGTTACAACTGTAAAAGACATTTGGACAAGTACATGAATAGGAACGGTTTAGAGTGATGTGGTCCAAACGCAGGCAGATGGGACCAGTTCAGTTTAGGAAACCTGGTCAGCATGGACGATTTGGGCTGAAGGGTCTGTTTCCATGCTGTATGACTCTATGGCTAAAGTGCAGGAAGTGTATGCAAGGATGGTTGAGGGATCAGTATTAGCCAGGGCACTGAGGATATCTCCTTGGTCTCAAAATGAAACAGAACATCTGCAATCTTGTGTGTCCACCTGAAAAGGGAAGTTTTAACAGTTCATCTGACACTGCAGCACTCCACAGTCCTGCACTGGTACATCAGCCTGGATGCTGAGCTCAGGTCCCTAGACTGGGATTTGAATCCACAATCAGTGAACAGAAAGCAGGAGTCCTGCTCGGAGACACTGCCGACACAGACTAATGAGATTCTGTTTCTAATTTCGAACCTTACATACTTTAGATTGATAGGGCACTTTGGTGTCATCGTGACTCTTGTGATTTGTAAAACTGCTGAGTCTGGCTCATTAACACAGTACCATGGGGAAACATAGCTTCTCCATTAAAAAGAAAGAAGAGTTATATTAGTAAGATTGATAGCTTCGTTAGAAAGGTGTAGAAAACAGGAGCAGGAGTAGGCCATTCAGCCCTTTGAGCCTGTCCCATATCCAACATGATCACGGTTGATCATCCAACTCAGTCCCCTGTTCCCACTTTCTCTCCAGCTCCTTTGATCCTTTAGCCCTAAGAACCATATCCAACACCTTCTTGAAAACATTCAATATTTTGGCCACAAAGACTTTCTGCAGCAAAGAATTCCACAAGCTCTCCATTCTCTTGGTGAAAACATTTTCCTCATATCAGTCATAAATGGTCCACCTCATATCCTTAGACTGTAACTACTGGTTCTGGGCTCCCCAGTCATTGGGAACATCCTGGTTTATCCTGTCTAGCTCTGTTAGAATTTTAAAGGCTTCTATGAGATCCCCGCATTCTTTCAAACTCTGGTGAATATAATCCTAACCAATCCAGTCATTGGTCAGGAATCAGTCTGCTAAACCTCTCTCCATCACCAGAACATCTTCCCTCAGACAAGGGGACCAAAACTGCACGCAACACTTCAGAACACCCTGATATGGAGGTGCTGGTGTTGGACTGGGGTGGGCAAAGTCAGAAATCACACAAGACCAGGTTATAGTCCAACAGGTTTATTTGAAAACACAAGTGTCTGGAGCGCTGCTCCTTCGTCGGCAGCAGTGAGAGAGGGCACACAGACACAGAGTTTATAGGCAGAGACTGAAGTTTGGAAAGTTGTGCAGACACCGATAAAATCTTTAATTATCTCAGGTCAGTACTTGAAACAGATTCTGGAATTTGCATCTTAATCAATCAAAATTTGCGACTCCTTTCTAACAGAGTTCTCTACCCAGCCATTTTATGCTTGTTCACTTCACTCACACCAGTTGTATGATCCTTTCGTCTCTGCCTATAAACTGTGTGCGTGTGCCGTCTCTCACTGCACCTGACGAAGGAGCAGTGCACAGAAAGCCTGTGATTTCAAATAGACCAGAACCCCCTCGGTTACCCCCTGAACCTGAGGCA